CTTGTTTATTCAATTCCTCCTCTCCAGCTAAGATGTCTCAGTCACTTCTATCTTCAATATAACTTGTAAAAGGAGGCTGGGCACGGCAGCTCACAGCGGTAATCCCAGCACTTTGGGAGGCCAAGGCAGGAAGACTGCTTGAGGCCAGGAGATCGAGTCCAGCCTGGGTAACATAGTAAGACCCTATCTCTACCAAAAAAAAAAAAAAAAAATTAGCCAGGCATGATGGCATGCACCTGTAGTCCCAGCTACTAACAGGAAGCTAAGGTGGGAAGATCATTTGAGCCCAGAAGTTCAAGGCTACAGTGAGCCATAATCTTGCCACTGTACTCCAGCCTGGGTGACAGAGCAAGACCCTATCTCCAAAGAAAAAAAAAAAAAAAAGACACAACCCCAATAGCATCCTTAGGCAGTGCCTTCACAAAGGAGAAGTTTTCACAAATAAACAGACTTGTTCTCTGATAGTTTCATGAAAGAAAAAAAAAACACTACATGTAATATTTATAAAATTCTTCTGGGATATTTCAGACTGAGCTAGTAGAGCTCAAATGATCCTAACTTGCCTGCTATTAATTTTCCATGCTATTAATGCTCATAATCTTTGTGAATATTGTCTGTCATTTTCTTCACTTGCTCAAAATATTCTTGTTATCCTTAAATTTCACAAGAATTTCAAGTGGCTATTGAGTTTTCTGTTAATCCCATAAGATGTAAGAATTTTAAGTTTCCAAACTGACAAAGATTCTTTGTGTGACCAAACTTCAGTCAGGCTCCTGAACCTTCTCCTAGGACCATCCGTGCACTTCTTTATAAAATCCAGTTTTAGGCTGGGTGCGGTGGCTCATGCCTGTAATCCCAGCACTTTGGGAGGCCGAGGCAGGCGGATCACGAGGTCAAGAGATTGAGACCATCCTAGCTAACACGGTGAAACCCCATCTCTACTAAAAATACAAAAAATTAGCCAGGCATGGTGGTGGGCGCCTACAGTCCCAGCTACTCAGGAGGCTGAGGCGGGAGAATGGTGTGAACCCGGAGAGTGGAACTTGCAGTGAGCCAAAATCGCTCCATTGCACTCCAGCCTGGGAGACAGAGAAAGACTCCGTCTCAAAAAAAGAAAAAAAAAAAATTCCAGTTTTAGCAAAGAACCCTGCTAAGGCAGTTTAGCAAGAACCTCCTACCCTTGATAACTAATCACTCTCAGGTTTCTCATCCTCCACCACTCCCCAGGTGATGTCTGATCACCCTGGCCTATCTTCAATGAGAATCCTATCAGGTAAATTTAGCCAGAATGCCCCTGACCCCTGATGTTTCCTCATAGTAATTTTCCATCCACTGGCCCTCACCTTGCTCCCTGGCTATAAATTCCCACTTGCCCATGCTGTATTCAGAGTTAAGTCCAATCTCTATCCCCCACTGCAAGACCCGATTGCAGTGGTCCCTGTATCTCCTGCAATGGTGCTAAATAAACACCACCTCATGCCTTAGCAAGTATCACTGAATAATTTTTTCTTTAACAAAACTAAATTTCACTTTGGATAGTAAAAAGAAACTGTGTTATAAATTTAATAAATTACTAATTATTCTTCCTACTTCCTCAAAATATCTCCATTTCCAAAAACCTTTTGCATTATTTTCACTCATTTATTTAGTCTTTCTTTGCTTTTGATCTAATTTAGAGGTTTTTTTTGTCTGCTTTACTTATTAGAAGCTGTAGGGTGTCAGTTTTAATGTTCTTATTGTTCTCTTGTACTTATCACTACTATTATCTTTTTCATTCTAATTTATTTGTGTTTAATAGTTACTATATTCTCTTTCTGCTCTAAGTGTAGATAAGAACTCGTCTCTGAATTGTAGTTGTGATTCCTATACTTGTTGTCTAAACATCACTGTTACATTAATCTGCTTTTCTGGTTTTGCTCTTTTGACCTAGCAAACTTGATTTTTATTTGTTCCAGGTAATTTCATGGTATCATAATGAGTTTAATAACAGAAGTAACTGTACACTTTTATAACTTCCCAAAACTTCCCTGATGGAGACAACTAAAATTCCACAAAAAAATCCACAAACCATGAGAAAAGGGCAACGTAAATAGCCTCAAACTTTACTTCTACTTTCTTTTCAAGATATTTGAGCAGGAGCCTCTGACTTTTCTGTAACTGGAACTGCCCAGAGAAGCAAGAGATGCCACCCCGACAGTAAATAATTGGAAATTTCTAAGCAAAGTAAAGGTTAACTTTCATAGTTAACAACACAAGAGATAGAACTGTGAAAGCCTGCTGATATCTCTATTTTCGACAACTTCTATAAGTGTCCCTAGGCCATCTGGTGACATCTTCAAACCTTGAAGGCTACCTAAATATTTAAGTATTGTAATACTACGTAATACTAAGTATTAAAATATTTATTTTAAACAATTTTCCCAGAATAAAAATGTTTAAATAAAAAGAAAAGCACACAGGATGACTGACTCTGGGTGATAAATTCTTCATTATATTGAACATGGGATATTTACAACTTGGTACTATGTAATAATTTTGTATGTTTCTGCCTTATTCCCCAATAAGCAGTTTTTGAAAGTAGGGATTCAATCTTAAAAAAAGAAGTATGGCTGGTTAGGTATAGTGGCTCACGCCTGTAACCCCAGTACTCTGGGAGGCTGAGGTACATGGATTGCCTGAACTCAGGGGTTTGAGACCAGTGTGGGCTCTACCAAAACTACAAAAAAAAAAAAAAAATAGCTGGGCACAGTGGTGCGCACCTGTAATCCCAGTTACTCGGGAGGCTGAGATGGAAGGATCACTTGAACCTGGGAGATGGAGGTTGCAGTGAGCAGAGATCATGCCATTGCACTCCAGCCTGGATGACACAGCGAAACTCCGTCTCAGAAAAAAAAAAAAAGGAAATATGGTCTAGTTTAGACTCACCTTAACCAAAGCAGTTCTTGTTTTATATTGGAATTCTGGGTAAGATTTTCTTTCAAAAACGGGTTCAAATATTATTTTGCTTTTAAGTTTTAAAAAACAATTGTAGCCTACCAGAAAATACTAAAATACCAAGTGTTGGTAAAGATGTGAGGCAACTAGAACATGTTCATCTACAGTACAGCCATACATGAATGATAGAGACACTTTGGAAAACTCTTAGTATCAAACACACACACACACACAAACACACACACACACACACACACACACACACACACATACCCCTTGTCATCCAGCAATTCTATTCATTGGTATATACCTAAAAGAAATGAATGCTATATCCACCAAAAGTAATGTACAAGAATGTTCTCAGCAACTTTTATCTGTAATAGCCCCAAACTAGAAAGACCCCAAATGCAAAAATCTTGGAATAAGCATTAGTAGCTTCTACTCATGATTGTGACACGTTAATTTTTGACAAAACATAGAGCCTTCGAGGGCCTCCATTCCACATACTGAAATGCTAAGTAAGGTCTCTTTGCTTTCTAAAATTCATTAATTCATAATATAATTTCTATGAATTTTCTTGGCCTTTATGCTTACCTTAAATATAGCAAGTATATACACAAGATGTTCTCTACCTGATTGGCACCAAAATTTAACCTAAGCATATCTCTTTAATCCCTACTAAAGAGGCTGGTGGTCTAACAGCTCCTTTTATATTAGTAAATGTAGGTGGCTTCCGTGCCGGGCCAACATACAAGCACAAAGACTGAAATACCTAATGCAGGTGATTAAAAATCAATTATAGTCTATTATCTGGAAATAATAATAAACTGCAATCAGAGTAGCCAGAGCTGAAATTTTCTTTGAATCAATAAAAACAACCTAGAGCCACTACAGTGATGGTATGTCATAACTTATAATCAATAATTGAAAGCTCGGTATAGGCAGGCAGCTGTTCCTTTGAGATTATCTACATAAGAAATCTATTTACTATACAAGTTCTATACAGCAAAAAAAAAAAAAAATTAAGGAGATATTCCTTGGTGAAAGTAAGAAGGGCACACAAGGAAAGTATACTGTTTTTTCTTTTTTACAGGGGTTATATATTACTTTGATAAATGAAAAAAAACAAAAATATAGTTATAGCCAACTTTTCTTCATGAAGAGATGCCACCTGAATTTAATAGTAGTTTCCATTTTTATATCCTCATTCCAGGTATATAAGTCATCAAGACAGGTGGGAGGGTATACCAGTTGTCACTTCATAAGAAAAGCAGCAAAATGCTAAAAATCATCATTTGAGAAGTTTTGAATCCAAGGAACTTCTTGTATGGATTAGGCTTCCAAATTTTGGAGATCCTCTAGCCTTTTGTAAAAAATAAGAGAGGTTATATCCTTCAGATGACAAAGGAAGCACGACACGTAGTAAAGTGCCATGGAGAAAAGCACGACCTCATGGAGACCAGGGCACACATATTCGAATTCTGGTCTTGTCATCTAAATCTGAACAAATTGTTTTAATCTTACTGTGACTCAGTCTACTTGTCCATAAAATGAAGAGATTAGATTAGATGATGCTTTTATTTTTCTCTACCACTAAAAATTTCAAAATGCTTATAATTCACTATGTGCTCATTAACATGATATACGCACTTCCTGATTTTAACCTTTATCCACAAAAAAGCCGACTATCCTCATTAACAACAATATCTAGAAATTAGAAATCAGAAGGCACTAAAACTGAATGATGAACATTAAGGTCTGAGGCCTTGAAGAAGGCTTTTCACCGCCTGTAAGTTGGGTTTGTATCCATCAAACAAATAAGAGGGCCACAATATATAAATGAAAAAATGAAGTATAAATAAGTGAAAATCCATAATAAACTAGTAAAGAATTAACAAAAAAAGAAACCTCATCAGTGAATCTGTATCTGTTCCAGAAAAGGTCTTCAGTTTCTATATATACACACACAGGTACATACACACATATATACATAAAACACATACATACATACATACAGATTATTAGCTAAATATAGAGTCAAAATAAAAAACGTGTCTTCTACTCACTTTGACAGAGACACTCCCCCAGCTTTCCCAATCATCTCTTCATGGTGCAATACCGAATGGTTCCATGGAATCTGAAGGAACTTTAAGAGTGTTCTCATCCATCGTTCAGGATGTAAGACAAGTTGTTCATAGTGAACCAACATGCACTTTTTATAACCAACCTCCATACACTGGTTATACATGGTCTCTATAGCACGATTCCACTTGGTCAAACAGTCCCTATAGCTGTTCAGGTCAAATCCAGCTATAGTAACTTTTCGAGAAATCATCGAATGTACTGATGCCCGGCCATCTCGGACCATCAGGAGAAATTTGGCATTGGGGAATAACCTAGCAAGGTAAGTTAAAGATTTCAGGGCAAAAGGATCTTTATTACATAAATAAGGGGCTGGCTCCCCATGCTTAACAATGATTTCTAGTAAGAAGGCTTGCATGGCAGAATCCAGCACTTCATCAGTAACACCAGCCTCATCCAGGCGGATCTTCTCTTTACTTGACCGTGACCACATCTGCTTCAGGGCCAGGATTCGGGGAATGACCCTGGTTTCCTCTCCACAGCGAATGTCAGGATGTGCATCCAGCATGGCCCTCATGAGTGTGGTTCCACTCCGAGGCACACCTCCAATAAATATTAAAGGCATATCTTTGTGATAGGCAAAGGTTTTGTTGGCTTTGAGGTCCAGGCCAGTTCTCACAGTGGTCCTTGTGCTCTCCAATTTGACTGGCTGGCTACGTTCCTCTATCCGGTGATGGCATTCCATGGCATGCTGGCCCAAGTAAAACACAGTCACAGAACTAATCACCAGACATGCCAATAGTAAGTTCTGCTTCAGCTTTCCAACCATCTTGATGTGGTTATCTTGTTATTAAACAGATATTTTGCTCAAAATGATTTTCGGAAAATGTTCAGGCCATGGAGAGTCTACTTCAGAAAGATAACCAACGTCTAGTAGAGAAAGGAAAACGTTATTTTATCATTACATTGAGATTGCTTACAAATCAGTCACCAGTTATCACCACTGCATTTTAGGTAGAAAAAAGCTGAAACAGTCTTGGATTCTCTGATATTCTTTTTTTTTTTTTTTTTGAGACGGAGTCTCGCTCAGTCGCCCAGGCTGGAGTGCAGTGGCACGGTCTTGGCTCACTGCAAGCTCCACCTCCCGGGTTCACGCCATTCTCCTGCCTCAGCCTCCCGAGTAGCTGGGACTACAGGCACCCGCTACCATGCCCGGCTAATTTTTTGTATTTTTAGTAGAGACGGGGTTTCACTGTGTTAGCCAGGATGGTCTCCATCTCCTGACCTCATGATCCACCCACCTTGGCCTCCCAAAGGATCCTCTGATATTCTTAAAACAAATTTGAGCAAAATTTGTTTTACTCAGTATATACAGTATAGACAAATTTGAGTAAAAATAAATCAATGTCTATAATCGGAAACAGCTTTTGTTAATGCAGTAATTCTGAAGCTATGTACCTGGTAAAGAATGGAAAATAAATAAAACTATTTCTATCAGTGAGTCAACCAAATATTTAATAAGCCCAAGAATGTCTGGAGTCCAACTCAAGGCTGATCTCTGCTATTCAGACTTGCCTCATCTCCAAGCAGTTATTAGCTCCACATTCTAACAATGAGAAATTATAGAAGAAACATGAAACAACTTCCAAATCTTCAACAGAGATTCAGTTTATTATCCCACAATTTATTTAGGTACTACAGACCAGATACTCAGGCTCGACTGAGGACCAACTTTGAAAAGGAAAACAGTAGAGTAACCTCTGCTCTTGGAAAACAAAGTCTTTTGACAGATATGTAAACAATAACAATAAAATGTGATGAGTGCCTCAGTGGAACTATGCAAAGGGACAATGGGAGCATAATGAAAAGGAGCATGTAATTGACCTGAGGAAGCTGTAAAAGTTTTACAGAAAGTAGGATCAGGTAAAGGACCAGGTGCAGGTAAAGGACCAGGTGCAGCAGCTTACACCTGTAATCACAGCTCTTTGGGAGACCGAGATGGGAGGATCGTCTGAGCTCAAGAGTTCGAGACCAGCCCAGGCAACATACTGAGACCCCGCCTCTTTAAAAAAGAAAAGAAAAGAGAAGGGAGGGATATTCTAAACCAAAGGAACTTGTGTGCAAAAGCACAATGGCAAGACAGAACATAGCATAATTAGGTGACAGGAAGAAGTTTAGGAGAGCTGTTGTATAGGTTGCAAAAAAAATTGTATGTATAAATATCTGTGATCTAATCCTCAGAAGGACAGGTAAGATCTGGACACAGGAAGCGCTCTAAGCTGCAGGTACACTACCACCAAAGGCATGGATGTGCAAAAGCAGAAGCATGTATATGAAACAGCTGGAGCTGCTAGTTTAGCTAGAACAAGGGTACACCGTGGGAAACAGACAGCAACCAGACTACATCTATACCAAAATAATTTACCCTGAATCCTCAGAAGGCAAGTGTGGCAGTTAATTTTATGTGTCAACTTGGCTAGGCTTTGGTGCCCAGTTGTTTGGTCAAACACCAGTCTAGATATGGCTGTGAAGGTATATTTTAGATGTGATTAACACTTAAATCGACAGATTTCTAGTAAAGTGGATTACCCTCCGTAACACAGGAAGGCCTCGTCTAACAGGTAAAGGTTTTAAGAGCAAAGACTGAGGTTTCCTGGAAAAGAACTACATCATGGAAACCCTGCCTGTGTGTCCAGCCTGCTACCCAGCAGAATCTGGAGTCAAGCCTGTGGCAGGCCAGGTCACTAACGCAGGCCTCCATAACAACTGTTTCAGTACTGACTGAGTGGTTCAGTTCAATATTAAAAGCTAAAAAAAAAAAAAAAAAAAAAAGCCAGTGCTGTTATACAATGGCTGGAACGTAACAAAAGCCCACCAAGAGTTTTGCCTAGGCCTTTCCTGGGCCTTAAAGCATGACAAAATAACGAAGGAATTCTTAACAGGACCCATTTAGGATTAAACAAGTTTTATTGGGGGTCTGAAGAAACTCCCCAGGCCTCCACAAACAAGTTTATTGGAGGTCTGAAGGAACACCCCAAATCTCCGTGATTTAGCAGGAGACAAGATAAGGGTAATCACCCCAGCACCTAGACCCATTTAGATTAAGTAAACTTACTGAGGCTCCAGAAAATGCGCCTCAGGACTCAGACTTTAGTTACAGATTAAAATAAGTTAATCACTTACATCTTTAGATGAATGCACACTTACATGCAGACATATAGGTTAGAAGGTACATAAGCTCAGAAAAACTTTGTAATTTTAAGTTGGTCTGGTGATAATTTCCAGGCCTCCCTGTAACCGGTTACAGAAATAAAAACTCTCTTTCTCCCCAGTTCATCTGCATCTCGTTATCGGGCCACAAGAAATAGCAGCCTGACCCTCAATTTGCTCTGGGAACAAGACTGCAACATCAACTCATCTCTGCCCAACTGCCCTATGAATTTCAGACTTCAAAGCCCCACAATCACATAAATGAATCCCTTAAAAATCAGTCTCTTTCTCTCTCTACCCCCGACCCCTCCCCATATACACAGTAGGCATGAGTGTTATCTACCACTCTAAATTCAGTGAGATCCCTTCCAGCCCACTAGCAAAGCAGCCAGTGCTAATAGTTTGCCTTGCCCTGACTACTGGTTGTTTTTCTATAAAACCCTAACACAGGGGTTCGGTTTGTTTTTCTGGAGAACCCTAAATATACCTGGGGAAATGACTAACTACACTAAAAAATACATTCTGAGAGGGAAGACTTCCAGGTACAGCCTAGTGAGAAGGTAGTTAATTCCTCTCCCCAAAAACCAATGATAAAGCTGGGTGAAATGGGCAAAACAACCCTTTCAGTGCTCTGGAAATCCACCAGAAGAATACAACAACCTGGCCGGGCGCGGTGGCTCAAGCCTGTAATCCCAGCACTTTGGGAGGCCGAGGCGGGTGGATCACGAGGTCAGGAGATCGAGACTATCCTGGCTAACATGGTGAAACCCCGTCTCTACTAAAAATACAAAAAACTAGCCGGGCGTGGTGGCGGGCGCCTGTAGTCTCAGCTACTTGGGAGGCTGAGGCGGGAGAATGGCGTGAACCCGGGAGGCGGAGCTTGCAGTGAGCCGAGATCACGCCACTGCACTCCAGCCTGGGAGACACAGCGAGACTCCGTCTCAAAAAAAAAAAAAAGAATACAACAACCTGAGAAGCATTTATGCTTGAAAAACTGCTAAAAGGTAGGTAAGAACAATGAGAGTCTGTGTAAGGTTACTCCCACCTCATCTACCCATTCAGTAGGTACAGAGGTTCTGCAAGGCAGAGCAGGGCAAGGCAAAACATTAGGACTGACAGTTTTGCTGCTGGGGTGGAAGGGAGTTTGCTCGGTTTGGAGTGGGTAAGAATACACATGCCCACCTGCATTGTGAGTAAGAGATGGAGCAGGTGGGAGGTGAGTGAGAGGGTGACTAGCTCTAGAAGGCGAAGGTTGCAGTCCAGGTGGGGCACATTTGTTGGCCAACCCTGAAGTGGCATGCAGGCACAGAGGAGACATGAAAGGACTGGGTGGAAAGTAAAAGACAGGGCAGATCCGAAAACAGCCTAAACTTTGTATGTGCTCCCTACCCACAGAGGTCTACTGGCAGAGGACGAACACCTTACTGGCTCAAGATGTCTGAGGCAACCACTATCCAAGCACTGGGTGACCACTGATCACTAAGCTATGCAGACAGGAAGGCAACTCCTAGAAAGCCATGCTTAAAAATGAAAACAATTATAAAGTGTGTGCACACTTTAAGTATATATACTTAAATAAAGTACATATACTTTATACTATATATACTTTAGATAGACATAAACAATCCTAAAAGTGTGTGTGTATATACATATACACATATATATGAGAGCAACATCAGCATACATTTAAATGACGAGGCAAATTTATAGAGACAGCAGAGTGAAAAAGCAGGGATTTAAGTGCAAGTTTACATGAAGGAACTTTTTGCAGTGACTGAACTGTTCTAAAACTGAACTGCTGTCATAGTTGTACAACCCTATAAAATCTACTAAAAAATTATTGAATTACACCCTCATACTTGTGAAAGGAAAATAAATATTGGGGCCCCCAAATCACTAAGCTAAAGGGAAAAGTCAAGCTGGGGACTGCTTATGGCAAACCTGCCTCTCATTCTATTCAAAGTCATCCCTCTGCTCACTGAGATAGATGCATATCTGATTGCCTCCTTTGGAAAGGCTAATCAGAAACTTAAAAACATGCAACTGTGCGTCTCTCACCTATCAGTGACCTGGAAGCCCCTTCCCCACTTCAAGTCTTCCTGCCTTTGCTTCCAGCTGTCCCACCTTTCCAAACGGAACCAATGTACTTCTTACATATACTGATTGATGTCTCATGTCTCCCTAAAATGTATAAAACCAAGCTGCATCTCAACCACCTTGGGCACATGTCGTCAGGACTTCCTGAGGCTGTGTCACAGGCGTGTTCCCCAACCTTGGCAAAATAAACTTTCTAAATTAACTGATACCTGTCTCAGATTTTGGAGGTTCACATACTATATATATAAATTACACTTCAATACAGCTTTTTTTTAAAAAAGGAATTCATTACTAGAGAAACACTTCCACAGTCTCAGTAGAATACAACAACTAAGAACTGGTTCTTGTTTATTCATGTGTATGATTTAATCATTCATTCAATATATGTTTGAGCACATAGTTTTGCGCCAGGCACTATATAAAGCTTCAACAAAGAATCACAAAGACTAGGTTGAGATTAAAATATCAGCTTAAAAAACTGCAAAGAAAAAAGTATTAAGACAATTGGTGGCAATATAGCATTAAAATGTCTATGCACAACATTGTATCCATTATAATAGAAGACACACTTAAGATGTTATCCTAATATTCAATTTAAAAGGAGCCAAGTAGAAAGAAAAGGA